TGCAGTTTTATAAACATTCATTTAGATCAATTGTTACAATGTGTATAAAGGTTTGTGCTAACTCACAAAAGTACTACTGATACTAATGATGGTATTCTAACTGACAACCAAATTTAAGCCTCATTTTAATTCAGGATGAGACTCTCTCTCCAGTGCCTCATAGAGCAATCTGCACCCATGTCTTGAGTGTTTTCTTTTTTTTTCTTTTTTCCCAAGAGGAGCAATGTCTCCCAGTCTTGAGTGTTTTCTGTCCTTTTGTCAAGCACCTCTCTTTCTCTTAATGTTTGTGCTCTGAATTATGTCAACTCCTCTGCTTTCCTGCACGAGGCCAGAGGACAAACTCTGCTGTTGCTCTCCAGGCTCTGTTTGTTTGTTCCTTTGCTTGCTTTGTGGGTGTTTCTCCCACTGGCTTGAGACTGACCAAGTATGTTCTTCTCTCGTTCTCCCCTATGCTGGGATTACAACCACACCATCACATACAGCAGCTTATGTGGGCTCTGAGGATCACATTTAGATCTTCATACCTGCAAGGCAGAAACTTCTGGCTTTCAGGGTCTCCATTGAGAAGTTGAATGTTATTCTGATGGATCTGCCTTTATATGTTACTTGGTCTTTTCCTATACAACTCTTAATATTCTTTTTCAATTCTGTATAATTTGTATTTTGCTTAATATGTGGTGAGGGGGCTTTGTGGGAATCTAGTCTGTTTGGTGTCCTATGAACTTCTTGTATCTTCATAGGCATTTCCTTTTTTAGGTTTGAAAAGTTTTTTCCTGTGATTTTGTTGTATGTATTTTCTGTTTCTTTAAGTGGTATTCTTCTCCTTCTTTTCTTCCTATTATTCTTAGCTTTAGTCTTTTCATGGCGTTCCAGATTTCCTGGATGTTTTGTTTTATGACTTTCTTTGACTGATGAATCTATTTCCCTTATCATATATTCAACACCTGAAAGTTTCTCTTCAATCTCATGTACTCTGTTGGTGATTCTCGCATCTGTAGTTCCTGTTTGTTTACTCAGATTTTCTGTTTCCAGGATTTCCTCTGTCTGTGTTTTGTTTATTGCTTCTATTTCAATTTTCAAGTCTTGAGCCGTTTCCTTTGCCTGTTAGATTGCTTTTTATTGGTTTCCGTTAAGGGATTTATTGATATCTTCCAATTTTTTTGTTTGTCTTTTCCTCCATTTGTTTAAGGAAATTTTTTATTTCCTCTTTAAGGGTCTCTATCATCTTCATGAAGATATCTTTAAGGTTGTTTTCTTCTGCTTCTTTTGGGTTGGGATGTTCAGTCTTTCCTGTTGTGCAACTATGAGATTCTGGTGATGCCATATTGATCTTTAGGTTGTTGAATGTATTCTTGCATGGGTGTCTACCCATCTCTTACTCCAATTGTTGTAGGCAGTGTCTTTGCCCCTTTGTCTAATGGTTGCTGTGGGTATCTGTGTTTCAGGGATTCTCTCTTGAACTGATTGGTGTAGTTGCTGTCTGTATCTTAGAGAGCCACTGAGATCTCAGAAGATGTGTGAATTTGGGAGATAGTGGGGGTATGTAGATTATAGGGCCCAGTGGAGGGGTACTAGAATAGTCTACCTGTAGGAGGTTTGCACTTGCAGCTGAGGTGGCTGAGGGAGTGGTCAATGGTTTTGTCCTGGGGTCAAGGGCCTAGAGACTGGGCTGTCCAACTGAGAGGCTGGTCACTCATTTCCGGTCTGCACTCTGTGAAGTTGCAGTCTGTGTCTCAGGGAGATGCTGAGGTTGTGGGGGATCCCCTAACTATATTCTAAATATTTACTCTTCAATCCACATATAAGTATAGTTATCACCCTTTGTCAAGGAAATATCTCTTTGCAACAGATGGAGACCATTACAGAAAACCACAACTGATCAAAATGAAGAAGTGTGGAGCTAGTCCTAACTGGTACACCTACAACTCATCTCCTGTACCCAAGGCTCAGGGATCATTGTAGGAGAACGGGTGGAAAGACTGTAAGAGCCAGAGGAGCAGTGGTTTTCTATGAGATTGTTTCTTCTAGAAATATCATGGAAGCTATGTCCACAATGTCTCAACAAAATGTCTGTCTAAATATGACCTGAACAAGGACGATACCACCAGACTAGCTAACATCGAAAAGGGGAATCTCAGGAGGCCTCAACCTAGATGAAAAACTGTATACAACCACGGAATCCTGGGAATAGGAGAAATAATCTTCTTTAGGGAAGAACATATCAATTGGTTACCCAACACCAATTGGTCAATCCTGAAAACAAATAAATACAAATAGCTTCATATGAACTGGGCAGGTTGTATTTATGTATTATGTATGATGTATATTGTATAACGGTAAGTAAAGAAAAAGAGGCCATAAATGGGAAAGACAGCAAGGGAAAGGATGCATGGGAAGGGTTGAAAGTAGGGAAAGGAAGGGAGAAAATTATATAATTATATTATAATCTCAAAAAATAAAACAATATAATTAAACACACACAATTTATGCTGTAGAGTAATGGCTCCACAGAAGGATCTTTCAAGGGACTGAGCCAGAGAAAAGGACATGGTTCTGTAGGAAAGAGATTTAATTCACATCCATATCCCACATGAAATCACTTCCATATGGATTGTACATGTAATTGCAAATCAAGTCAGTAAATTTTGGACAATAGAATAGGAAGACATAATATATTCATAACTTAAGAAAATTACCATTTCCTTTGTTAATATAGAGATTAGTATATTTGAATATGTAAAATAAATATATATTCAAAAAGGTAATTTTTCTTGACTACATAAGGAACTCTTAGAAGTCCGTATGAAGAAGATAAAAAATGTAAAAGTCATTTTTAAAGGCACATATACCTGAAAATGTGCAGAACATCACTATTCCTTACTGGAATAGTAAGGGAGATACTGTGAGGGATACAGTTTTAGACAGGTAGAGTTGAAATGACTCCTAGTCATTTTCATTGGAGCAGGTGGGTGAAAGGTATTGTTATCCAGTGGTGTTGACAGTGTCAAGTAGTACACATGGACAGTGTATTGATTTCTGATGCTTAAATGATGTTATGTTAAATGAAATCCATTTCAATGCCATTCATGAAATGCATCACACAGGCAGCCAGATTTCATATTATTATTCCTAATAATTTCAGTTTTGAAACAGTCCAAATACATTCCAGAGGTTGACTAAGCAGTCTCCTTGCATTTGAAGTCATACACACAGCAGTGTGAGTCAGTTAAAAGCTATGAAATTTTGTATTAAAGTAGCATGTTACTAGAAAAGGCAAACATTTATTAAATTTACATAAATACACAGGTACATGCACATGCATGAAAATATACTCTTGTACACATACATGCATGTGTTCTCCCTCTCTCTCTCTCTCACACACACACGGCATGAACACAGACAATGGGAAATGTAATCCATATCATTCAGAGTTGCACGATTCAATAGTAAAACTGTAGAAGAAATAATAAGACTGATCCCAAAAACAGGAATCTGGAGAGTTGGAGTGGGATCATGATTGCAGGGGAGCATGATGGGAGCTTTGGAGAAAATGACCGCACTGATTACGTAGCTGTAGCATCGATGAGAAAACGTCTACTGTGGTTACTTCCATAGGTTTCTATATAAGATCAGACCTGTTAATAGTTTCAGCACAGAGCAAGGAAGATGTTCCTGAGGGCCTACCCTTAGAGAGGTGATGCTGTAAGTTGGTGGCTTTTGGGGGACGTAGAGTCACTTTTTTGGGGGGGGGGTATGACCACTAGTTGGTTCCCCACTCTCTGGTAGATGGTCCCATACCATCTACAAATATATATATATATACATATATATATGTATATATATATGTATATATATATATACACACATATATATCACAAGTTAAATTCAGTGGGTAAATAATAAGTAATGGAAGACAGAAATTTGAGAGAGAGATGTGATGGGTGTGTTCTAAAGGGAGCTGGAATGGGGAGGGAAGGGCAGCTCCAGTAAAGATATATTACACATGTATAAAATAAACTACATTAAATTAAAAATATATTTGCTACATACATTAGTTTTGCATACAATTTAAAATTTTTTCTTATTTATCTGAGGAGCAAACAATGCAATCTGATCATATTCACCTCCCACTTCTATCCCTGACACCTGTAAAATTTATACCCACTTCCATATCTTCCCCAACTCCCTGTATTTTTTTCAAATATCCCATTGATTTCAATTTGTATTTTCCATATACTCCTGAATGTGGGGTCATATATGGAATCATGGTCTGCCAGACAGAAGTGATCCTTACAAAAACTGACTCTCCCTGTCTAGAAGACATCACCTGTCCACAGACTCTCAGTGAGGAATAGGGACCATGTAAACCTTTCTACTCCATGCTAGAATGTTGACTAACTTAATCTTAAATGTGTTTAGAGGTACCTAGATTTTTTTTGTGAGTTCATGTTTCCAGTCGTTTTGCCATGTCTGGAAAACAGCTTTGCTCTTGTCCTCCCAAACCTCTGGCTCTGACAATGTTTTTGCTTTCTCTTCCCTGATGCTTCCTGAGCCTTGTGGGTGGGAATGGTGGTCTGTAATTTAGATGTCCCACTGTGGCAGAGCCCTCCACTGATATTTATTCTATGTGCTTTAACCAGTTGTGAATTTCTGCAAGAATCACCATCTACTACAGAAAGAAACTTCTCAAATGAAGCCCAAATATGACTGTGCGCTTTTCTAAATATATATTTATTTAACATTTTCAATGAAACTGGTAGGTAGCAGAAGAAAATACAACTTGTAAATTCCTATAGTCTATGAGTGAAGAAAAATAATATAGTCCACAAATGAATAGATTTTTAAACAGTACTTGAGAACAAAATAAATGAAAAGCAAACATTAAAACATATATAGAAGACTAGGCAAAATCAACAGGTATAGTAACAGAGGTAGCTACCTCTACACGTTTACCTCCAATCCACATCCTTTAACTGGAGGTTTTTTTTTTTTCCCACAGGTCAATGAGCCCAGGGGTTTTAATCGTGAGGTTGGATGTGTGCGGGCACAAGTTTTGTCACAAGGTTCTGAATTCTTCCTGTTGAGCGAGCTCAGTTATTTCTTATGGTGTCTTCAATCCAGGGCATGTAGTGAAAGATGCTAGCATAGATACTAACATCAGCCCTCAGGACACAGCCGTCTGCATAGGACAGGATTCCATAAAGTACACCGTTGCAGACCGCTGGGGCAGCCGACACTTCCTTGCAGGGTAGCCTTCGCCCTGGCACGATGCCCACACAGATCATGTTTTCTTTGATGTCATAGGCTTTATAGCCATTACAGCACTCCGCGTTGGTGATCACAGAGATGTCCACAGTCTGCAGTGAATCAGGATCCTTGATGCTGTCACACAGATTGTAGGCCCAGGTGGAGACAGAGCACAGGGTATTCTCAGGGATGATGTGTTGGGGCAGTGCGACTGTTTTTATATGGTTCCCGGGTTCAACCAGTTTTTTCAGCTTGATTAACATGAGGTCATATGAAATTGAAGAGATCGAAAAGAATGGGTGATGGATCATTTTCTCATAACCGGTCACTGTGACATTCTCTTCAGTGGCGTCTGCTGGGTTTGTGACGCCAAGAATCACTGGAAGACGCGGTAAATTGCAGTGCGCAGCTGTGATCACCCAAAGAGGATGGATCAGGACCCCAGTGCAGGGCAAGTAATCAGACTTCAGGTAGACCAAGTAGGGGGGAGTGGAACCAGCTATGTGGTCTGGATTATAGGCAAATGTACCAAGCAGGGTGAAAAGAATACAGAGGCAGACAAACTAGATCATGATGTTGAAAGCCTTTTAATGAGATGGAGTTTACCTAAGTATCCCTGTAAAGCACAAAGAAGAAAGAAGAAGATGAAATACAGATGATAAACTAACAGAGAGATCTAGGTGAGAAAAACAAATATCAATGAATTATTTCCCTAGCAGGTTTGATATTCCCTTCAAAGTAGAGAGTGGTGTCAGAGGGAAGGAACAACTCATTGTAAACTTGGTCTCTCATGCTGTCTAGATCGGAAACCTTTTTTTTTATCTTTTAGAAAGTAATTTTATTAAATTATAAAATTTCCCTTTCCGCCCCTCCTCCCAACACCCTCCCACTCCCCCCACTCCCTCTCCTCCTCCCTCCCGTCCCCAAGGGCAGTCAGGGTTTCCTGCCCTGTGGGAAGTTCAAGTTCCTTCCCCCTCCCTCCAGGTCCAGGAAGGTGAGCATCCAAACAGACTGGATCCCCAAAATCCAGCATATGCAGAGGAAACAAGTCCCAGTGTCATTGTCAATGGCTTTTCAGAAAGACTCCAGGCCAGTCACATTCAGAGAATCAGGCCACATTCAGAGAATCTGGTTGGATCACGTCCTCGTTCAGTCCCAGTCCAACTGGCCTTGGTGAACTCTCATTAGATCCGTCCCCTTGTATCAGTGGGTGATCGCATCCCTCGCAGTCCTTATTTCCTTTTTCATTTTCTTCATCCTTCTGCTCCTCATTTGGACCTTGGGGGGCTCAGTCCTGTGCTCCAATGTGGGTCTCCGTCTGTATCGCCATCCATCGCCAGATGAAGGATCCCTCCTCCAATGGAGGTTTTAAGGAGAGAATTCTTCCATCCTTTGGTATCCAAGAGAGACTGATTCCAGAATATACTCTCATCCTATTTCACAGACAGTCAAATCGGTTTTTTTTTTTTTTGGAGTTATCATCCCAGATAGATGATATTTTATTTTTTTTGAGAGTAAATTTTATTAAATTATAAAAGTTTCCATTTCCGCCCCTCTTCCCAACACCCTCCCACTCCCCCCACTCCCTCTCCTCCTCCCTCTTCGTCCCTTAGGGCAGTCAGGGTTTCCTGCCCTGTGGGAAGTTCAAGTTCCTCCTCCCTCCCTCCAGGTCCAGGCAGGTGAGTATCCAAACAGACTGGATCCCCAAAATCCAGTATATGCAGAGGAAACAAGTCCCAGTATCATAGTCAATGGCTTTTCAGAAAGACTTCAGGCCAGCCACATTCAGAGAATCAGGCCAAATTCCGAGAATCTGGTTAGATCACGTCCTCGTTCAGTCCCAGTCCAACTGGCCTTGGTAAACTCTCATTAGATCCGTTCCCTTGTATCAGTGGGTGATAGCATCCCTCGCAGTCCTGATTTTCTTTTTCATGTTCTTCCTCCTTCTGCTCCTCATTTGGACCTTGGGGGGCTCAGTCCGGTGCTCCAATGTGGGTCTCCGTCTGTATCGCCGTCCTTCGCCAGATGAAGGATCTATGGTGATAAGCAAAATATACATCAGTATGGTTATGGGCCACGGCCGGTTCAGGCGCCCTCTCCTCTGTCCAGAGAACAATCTGGGGATCTCTCCTTGGACCTGGGATCCCATATATAATCAAGTCTCCTGTAAACCCTAAAATGACTCCCTTATTTGAAATATAATCTTCCCTGATCCCATCTTCATCCTTCCTCACTCTCCCCCTCCCAGGCCACCGAGCTTTCCCCATTCCTCCCCTACTCCCTTCTCTCTGACCCTCTCCCCTTCCAACAACCCTCCCACCCCCCCCCATGCACCCGAGGTTACCTGGGACTCTTGTCTATTTCCTACCTCCTGGCGGGTAGCGAAATAATCTTCATCAGGTTTATCTTCTTATTTAGCTTCTCTAGGATCACGAATAATAGGCTCAAAGACCTTTAATTATGGTTAGAATCCACTTATGAGTGAATACATACCGTGTTCCTATTTTTGGGTCTGACTTACCTCACTCAGTAAAGCATTTTCTATTTCCATCCATTTGCATGCAAAATTCAAGATGTCATTATTTTTTACCGCTGAGTAAAACTCTAATGTGTATATGTTCCACACCTTTTTTAACCATTCTTCTATTGAGGGGCACCTAGGCTGTTTCCAGGTTCTGGCTATTACAAATAGTGCTGCTATGAACATAGTAGAACAAATGCTTTTGTAGTATGTTAGGGAATCTCTAGGGTATATACCCAAGAGTGGAATTGCTGGGTCCTGAGGGAGGTTGACTCCCAGTTTCCTGAGAAACCGCCACACTGATTTCCACAGTGGCTGCACGAGTTTGCATTCCCACCAACAATGGATGAGTGTTCCCCTCACCCCACATCCTCTCCAGCATAGGCTATCATTGGTGTTTTTGACTTTAGCTATTCTGACAGGTGTAAGATGGTATCTCAAAGTGGTTTTGATTTGCATTTCCCTGATCGCTAAGGAGGTTGAGCATGACCTTAAGTGCCTTTTGGCCATTCGGAGTTCATCTGTTGTGAATTCTCTGTTCAGTTCAGTACCCCATTTTTTAATTGGGTTAGTTAGAGTTTTAGTGTCTAGTTTCTTGAGTTCTTTGTATATTTTGGAGATCAAACCTTTGTCTGATGAGGGATTTGTGAAGATCTTCTCCCAGTCGGAAGGTAGCCTTTTAGTCTTACTGACAGTGTCCTTCGCTTTACAGAAGCTTCTCAGTTTCAGGAGGTCCCATTTAAAATAGACCTGTTAGTCGCGAAGAATTAGAAGCTGTTATCAAAAAACTTCCCACCAAAAAAAGCCCAGGTCCAGATGGTTTCAATGCAGAATTCTACCAGAACTTCCAGGAAGAGCTAATACCTATACTCCTTAATGTATTTCACAATATAGAAACAGAAGAATCATTGCCAAACTCTTTTTATGAAGCTACAATTACCCTGATACCAAAACTACACAAAGACACAACCATGAAAGAGAATTACAGACCAATTTCACTCATGAACATTGACGCCAAAATACTCAATAAAATACTGGCAAACCGAATCCAAGAATACATTAGAAAAATTATCCATTATGATCAAGTGGGCTTCATCCCAGAGATGCAGGGCTGGTTCAACATACACAAATCTATCAATGTAATCCATCATATAAATAAATTGAAAGAAAAAACCATATGATCATTTCATCGGATGCTGAAAAAGCATTTGACAAAATTCAACACCCCTTTATGATAAAGGTGCTGGAGAGATTGGGTATACGAGGAACATACCTAAATATAATAAAAGCAATATATAGTAAGCCGACAGCTAACCTCAAATTGAACGGAGAGAAACTCAAAGCCATTCCACTAAAATCAGGAGCACGACAAGGCTGTCCACTCTCTCCATACCTCTTCAATATAGTGCTTGAAGTACTAGCAATAGCAATAAGACAACATAAGGGGATCAAGGGGATTCAAATGGGAAAGGATGAAGTGAAACTTTCGTTATTTGCAGACGATATGATAGTGTACATAAGCGACCCCAAAAACTCTACCAAAGAACTCCTACAGCTGATAAACACCTTTAGTAATGTGGCAGGATACAAGATCAACTCCAAAAAATCGATTGCCCTCCTATACACAAAGGATAAAGAAGCAGAGAGGGAAATCAGAGAAACATCACCTTTCATGATAGCCACAAATAGCATAAAATATCTTGGGGTAACTCTAACCAAGGAAGTGAAAGACCTATTTGACAAGAACTTTATGTCCTTGAAGAAAGAAATTGAGGAGGATACCAGAAAATGGAAAGATCTCCCCTGTTCTTGGATTGGGAGAATCAACATAGTAAAAATGGCAATTCTACCAAAAGCAATCTATAGATTCAACGCAATTCCCATCAAAATCCCAGCAAACTTCTTCACATACCTTGAGAGAACAATAATCAAATTTATATGACAAAACAAAAAACCCAGGATAGCCAAAACAATCTTATACAATAAAGGAACTTCTGGAGGCATTACCATCCCTGACTTCAAACTCTATTACAGAGCAACAGTATTGAAAACAGCTTGGTATTGGCATAACAACAGAGAAGTCGACATATGGAATCGAATAGAAGACCCGGGTATTAACCCACAAACATATGAACACCTGATATTTGACAAGGGAGCTAAAGGCATACAATGGAAGAAGGAAAGCCTCTTTAACAAATGGTGCTGGCATAACTGGATGTCAACCTGTAGAAGAATGAAAATAGATCCATATCTATCACCATGCACAAAACTCAAGTCCAAATGGATTAAAGACCTCAACATTAATCTGACCACTTTGAAACTGATAGAAGATAAAGTGGGAAGTAGTCTACAAGATATAGGCACACGAGACCAGTTCCTAAGCAGAACCCCAGGAGCTCAAATCCATTTTTAAAAGGTACAGTATTTGCTGGTGAACTTCGCATGTCTCCATACACGTTTTCATTCCCTTCTAAACCATGCACAAATCTACTGCACAGTGTGCAGAAGCAGTTTTCTTCCGCGCGGGTTAAAGAAAAATCACAAGAGGAAAACGTCAATATGGGTTCAAATCAGGAGCGTTTATTTTCTGAAGAACAGTGGCTTCACAGTAAGGATAAGGAACTCGTGAATGTGGAGGATACCTGGTACCTGGCCTCTGGGTTTAGAGCACACCTGCCTAAGTAAGAGGTCAAAGAGAGCATGAACTTCGTTTGCTGTTGTCATGACTCTCAGTATTTAATTCCCTGGTCAGACACAATATGGCCTCCATTTCCTGTCTTGAGAAGACCGATTAATTGACCTAAAATTTCTGTCACTGTCCGTAAGAAGTCCACATCACAGTAGTAGGTGATCAAGGATGAATATCAATTTTGACGATCTTCTCATGAAAATCTGATGCCCTCACCTTGAATCTCAGGAGGTGTTGTGACACCTTTGATCATTAGAATATGGAAGAAATGAAGTTATGCCACTGTGTAGTACCTGCCCGCAAGGAACTGGCAACTTCTATTTCCTATCTGATTCCCTCAGGTACAACATAAA